CACCTTTTGTATATTTAAAATAGTTCACTGTATTGTTTTGGATATGATTAAATTGTACCATTATAAAATCACTAACAGCTCAGTATCTGTAGTTTTTTTAGCAGCCTTTATTTTGGATTCGATATGCATCACATCTCCATTATGATATATTCAGCTTTTCAGCCTCCTAAGAAGCAACAACAACAATAACAGAATCCTTGGTTTGAGAGAAAATGCTACTTTTATTATTTTTATTTAATATTTTTCTTTACATGGTGATATTGCCTTCTTCATTCATCTAGAGACAATGCTATATTCTGTTTTCATCATTTATGATTAGAATGAATGACCTTACACCTTTTAATAATTCAATTTTAATAAAATACTAACTTGCTTGCTCTTCAGTTGTTTAGTTGTCTTCTAACTACATGGGAACTGAGCATTCTTTGCAGCACTGTTAAAATGGATTTTGACTGGGTTTTCCTACAGAGTATGAATAAGTTATAGTATTTCATTAATTCGTGTCATGGTTGGTCTTATAAAAAGTTTATTTTATCGGAAACATTCTGTTCAATAAATTGTCGTAACCTTGATCCAATATGAAAAATATATTAGCAGTAAAATCTGTTTACCGATGCAAATACTGCAAAAATATATTACCACTTAAAATTTTGTATTGGTTTGGCTTATATTTTTAAAAATTGTATGTCTTTTTCTGGAGCAATGTTTCTCAAACTATACATTGTGGCTTCCAAGGGAGTTAATGAAAGGTTCAAAGAGTTTTAAAAAACATTAAAAAGAATTTTAGATAGTATATATTAAATATTAATTACATTCATTGTTTAGAGAGAAAAAGCAAAAATAATATGCTGACTTACTGGGGACACCTTCTCAGTTTCTTCAGGATTGTGGATGGGAAAAGCAGCAATAGGTCCTGATAGTAAGAGGGAGGTAAAGACCTCAGGGCAGAGCTAACTGGGGACAGAGCAGCTTCTGGAGGAGAGGGGAGTTAAGTGGCTGTGTCCTTGCAGGGCTTTATTATTTACCTGTGTTAGAGAAACTGAGCTGCTGTA